GACAAAGAAATGGGGTGTACAAGTTGATGTCAAAACGCATAGCAAAGGATGGGTTGTATTTAAATTCAAGAGTGATGAAGATCAGGTGAAGGTACGTAACGAGGGCCCTTATGTTCTTTATGGGAAGACCATGTTCCTCAAAACACTTTCCGATGATTTCTCATTTCAAAGTGAGGAGTTCTTAAGAGTGCCTATTTGGGTTAAATTCCCAAATTTGCGCTTGAGGCTTTGGCAAGCTACGGAGATTGGGAAAATAGCATCCCAAATCGGAATACCTATCACCACCGATAAGGTAACCCAAGAAATGACTTTTACAAAATATGCACGAAATATAATCAAAGGGTTTTATATGAGGTAGACGTACTCGGAATATTGTTATCATTGAAGGCATACGGTCACCATCCCTTTGATTGCAAGGTTCTTAACCCGCATTTGGTAACCCACAAGGTTGCCACGGCCAAGGACAATGGGAAGGGGGTCACGGCTTCGGATAAAGGGAAGGAGGTCGCGGCTTTTGACAAAGGGAAGGGCATCGCTTAGGAAGAAACTGAACTTCCTTTTCAAGAGGTTATCCGAAAAAAGGGCAAGGTGAAGGGAAAACCGCATGTTGCAAAGGATGTTGCTTCAACGTCCAACGCTAAAGGTAATCAACTGAAGCCTATTGTGGTGAACCAAGGGGTTAGCATCGCGAAGGAGTTACTTATTCCATCTTTGGGTGCTAAGCCGAGACCAAGTGTTAAATTCTCAAAGGATGATCACAAGCTTATGGTGATCGCTAAGGATAAAGAGGGCAAGGAGGTCTTGGAGAATATGTCACGGAGTTATGTGATTAGAAGCATGTACGAGATGGATTCCAAGGACATTGTAACTGGTGTTTTTATGGAGGAAAAGGGAAGGCCTCTTGCTACTATCATTGACCTTGATGAGCTTTCGGATGGAGAGACTTCGATTAAAGTGGGGGCTGACCTCAAACCGGTGACTAGCGAGGATGCTCCGGTTGTTTATTTCACCCATAGCGGTATCATGAAGCTTCCGGGGGTTGAACGCAACTCCACATGGTATGATCTCGATCCAAAAAATTTTATCTCTAACGTTCTTTCCTTTTTTTATCCTAGTAGCAAAAACAACGTGAGCTACTACAAGGAACTATTGAGGAGGATGCGAAGAAGTGAAAGGAAGGAGGCAACCGCGGGTGGAGGACCCACCACGGATCTTTACCATTCTTGATGCCGAAGCTCTTGGTTTGGAATGTTAGAGGTTTAAACAAGACCTCTAAACACAATATAATTGCTTCCTATATTAAATCGAATAATATTTGCTTGGTATGTTTTTTGGAAACCAAAATGACCTTGGCCGCGTTTAATAATTATGTTTTAAATAAATGGTCGGGTTGGATTTTTGAAAATAACTTTGATTTAATTGGAGGGGCGCATGGCTATCATGTGGAACCCTAATTTGATTAATTATGTATTTTTGGAAAAAGGAAAGCAACACTTGCATGCTAGGTGTGTTTGTCGTATTACGCAAACTTCCTTTTTTGCTACTTTTGTGTATCCTTTATATACGGTACTTGAGAGGAAAGCCCTTTGGGACCATTTGACTTCGGTTGGGAACCAAATAGGGGAACCTTGGATGGTTTGTGGGGATTTTAATTGCATTTGTAAGCCTAACGATAGGGTGGGTCCTACCCCCCCCCCCCCCCACAGCGTATGTTATGCAACATCTTCTTGATTTTAAAGTTTCGGCTAGCCAACAAGATGCACCCTCCACGGGAGAATTTTTTACTTGGAACAAAGGTGTACTTTGGGCTAAACTAGACCGAGTTTTAATTAATGATGTTTGGGGGATTAATTGCATTGGGTGTAGGGTCCATTTTAACGAGATGGAGGTAGAGTTTGATCACACGGCTTCCGTTGTGTCAATACTTCTTAATTCCTCTCCTAGACCTAAGCCTTTAAAATTTTTTAATATGTGGTTGAAGCATCCTAGCTTTCCTAATCTAGTGGCGACACATTGGAACAAAGTTTATGTTGGATAGGCACAATTTATTTTGGTAAAGAAACTTAAAAGTCTCAAAAGGCCTTTAAAGAATCTTAATGCCGGTGAATTTAGCCACATATCCGATAAAGCTAAGATGGCAAAGCAGGAGTTCAAGAGATTGCATAAATTGGTGCTTCATGATCCGGGGGATCTAGAGCTTAAGGCCCAACTGTCTGTAACGTCTAAGAGAGCTATATTCCATGGTGAAGCCGAATCATCTTTCTTCCAACAAAGGGCTAAGGCTACACATATTCTCGAAGCGGACAAGTGCACCAAGTATTTTCATGCAATCGTCAAAAGAAACTTGGCAAGGAATACAATTTCATCATTTACTTTGGAGGATGGTACGCTTACTACTTCTTTAGATCAAGTGGGAAATGAATTTGTTAATTTTTCCGTTGAATTATTCGGTTCTAATAGCGAGAGCGAGGACCTGGACCCCTCGGTTTTACGCTCGGGTCCTAGGATTGAGCAAAGTGCTCATGCGAGCCTTATTGCCCCGATTACATCGTTGGACATTAAAAATGCCCTTTTTTATATTGGCAAAGATAAGCCTCCCGGTCCGGATGGTTTTTCTTCTGCTTTCTTTAAGACGAATTGGGACACCATTGGGAATGACATAGTCCTAGCTATTAAGGAGTTTTTTCATTCCGGAAAAATGCTTAAACAGTTAAATCATACTGTGATAGCTCTTATTCCTAAGACGAATCACTCCCCAAAGGTCTCGGACTATAGACCCATTTCCTGCACGAATGTTCTATACAAAGTTATAACGAAAATCATTGCGAATAGACTCATCCCGTGTCTCCCGGATTTAATTGACCATGCCCAAGGGGCATTTGTGGATGGCCGCCTCATGTTTGTTAACATTTTCCTTGCCCAGGAACTTGGTAGAGGATACACGAGGAAGCGAATGTCACCTAGGTGTATGCTTAAGGTTGATTTGCGTAAGGCCTATGATACCATTTCATGGGATTTTTTGGAAAATGTACTCAGGGTTTGGGTTTCCCTTTGCGATTTATAGGGTGGATAATGGAATGTGTGACTACGGCCTCTTTTTCAGTTTCCTTGAATGGCTCGCTCTACGGGTTTTTCAAAGGAAAGAGGGGAATTAGGCAAGGAGACCTCATGTCCCCGTTACTATTTGTGATTTGCTTAGAATATTTTTCTCGTTTAGTCAAGTTGAGAACCATGGAACCGAGTTTTAATTTCCACCCTCAATGTGCATCGCTTCGTATCACTCATTTGGCCTACGCGGATGACCTAATGCTCTTTTCAAGGGGGGACAAATATTTCATTGGTATATTTGTCAATGCCCTTAAGGACTTTGGGACGTTTCGGGCCTTAGAGTCAACCATGGGAAGTCAAATAATTTCATTGGAGGTATGACTGGTCTTGACTTACAAAACATTTTGGATCTGGTGGATTATGGCCAAGGCTAATTCACGGTAAAGTACCTTGGAATACCTTTGGCCCCACTCAAGATCTCGGTCGCGTAATATGCGCCGCTTATTGATACTATTACTGACTTTTTAAATGCTTGGAATGTCAAGAGTATTTCTTATGCAGGGAAACTTGAGCTCATACGTTCGGTTATCCAAGGAGTTCAGTCCTTTTGGATACAGGTTTTCCCAGTACCTAGAGCGATTATTGATCGGATTGTATCCATTTGTAGAGTGTTCCTTTGGGGAGGTAAATACTCCAAAGTGGCCTGGGATGACATTTGTCTCCCTAAGGAGGAGGGGGGCCTTGGCATCCGGAATGCTACATTTTGGAATCAAGCTCTTCTTTCTCGCATCCTTTGGGATGTCCACAATAAAAAGGACACTCTATGGGTTAGATGGGTCAACGGTGTGTATCTTCGCGGCAAAACGGTGTGGGACTTTATTCCGCACAGCCGTGATTCACATTTGATGAAAAAAATTGTATCACATTAAGACCAACTTAATTGGATGTTTTAATAATTTGAATGATACCATCAGGGGACTACATAGTAGGAGCGCTAACGGTAAGTTGATATCATCAAAGATTTATGAGCTTTTGCGGCCTAAGGGGATTGTATGAATCTGGATGAGTTTCATTTGGAAATCTTACATTCCCCAAAAGTTTTCATTTTATTACTCGGCTTGCTTTTAGAAACCGGCTTCCTACCCAGGATAACCTCGGTGTGAATAGATGTGATTTATGTAAGGGTGGACTAGAGTCTATTCCACACCTATTTTTTGCTTGTCCTTTTGCAGGCCAGATTTGGGATCGAATTAAGACTTGGATGGGACTCGACAATCGGATGACAACATTATCCAGTGCATTCAAGTGGATCACGCGGAAGTATAAGGGATCAACGGTCAAGGCAAAATCTGTCCGAATAGCTTTCTACGCAACCATCTACTGGATATGGCATGGAAGGAACGCAAACCGTTTTGATGGTACAAATAAGACGGTGGATGAGATCATTACGAAGATAAAGTGTGTGGTTTATAAGATACTTTTCAGTATCTACCCACATGACTTGATCAAGATTTGAGGAAGAGATATTTCTGACTATTAGAGAGGCCACGGCCTTCACCTATGGACTAGTGTGCTTGCATCTTGCAACACCCCTGATTTTTTGTTTCAGGCTAAGGGTCATAGTACACCCTCTTTTTGGCCTTGAATTTTTTGTTTGATAACTCTGATATGTGTGCATGCTTTCCTGCAGCACCTGGTTTGTTTTTGCAGATTTGGGGTATTTAGTATTGTATACTTAGGCCCCCTTTATATTTTTTATTTTTGATTTTGGATTAAATCGAACAAAAACCTCTCCTAACCCCTACACTAGGTAGGGTGGGGGGAGGGTTAGGAGATCTAGAACTTTTGATGTATAGTTTTTTCTTTGGATGTTAATACAAATTTACCTTTCATCCAAAAAACAAATGACACCTTAGTTTGGTTAGGAGATAATTATGAAGGATTTTTTTACGGAAAAAGAATGCATTTCAACTGGCAAGTGGCAAACACATTTATTTCGCACGAATATAGAGCAAATTTATCTTGCATCAAATTAGTCACCCCAGTTGACACTAATTGCTATTATTGTTTATATTGTTTTTTATTACTATTAATGAGATATATAAGAGATTAAGAACCAAAGAGATGATGAGCGTATATTGGTTAGCCAAAGAGGACGATGACAATTTCTTTTAGGCACCGGAGCCGAAGCCGGAGCCAGAGCCAGCCAAGCGACGCCTAGTAGCATTGGAAATGGAAACTTGACCTAATTTATCCGCTTCTTCACTCAATGGAGTACGTTCTATGGGCGGTGTATAATGCCTCAACCAAACACCGGTGTATACCTGAATTGAATATGAATGATACAATCAAGCTAAGTCACATCCAAGAAAAACTTTTTTATGCATAATTGAAAAACTAATTAGGATGTTTTTACTTAGGACTGTAATTCGTCCCAGACCAGACCAGACCAGTTCAGACCAGACTTGGATAGTTATAAAAATACAAAGAAACCAGATCAGACCAGACCAGACCAGACCAGCAAATTACATTCCAAGTAAAAACATCCTTACTTAAATGACAAAACTGGATGCTTGGTGATGCTCTTGGCGTACATCAAGGTTTTTGAAGGAAAGCGGCTCATTTTTATTTATAAATTCACTAAACTGTGTAGACTTATTGTATATAAATTACCATGACATTGGGCCATACTATTATATCAACTTGTTTTTCATTTTACAAAATTACCTAACCAAAGCAGTATTTTTTAAATGGAAGGGTTTGAAACCCCAAAGGTCAGTGGGGATGGACTGTTTTTTAAGGGATTATTAAATACATATCGGTAATATATATTTCACTTGAAAAAGAACTAAAGGAATAACAAAATAACAAAGTGGTAATATAACTTTGGGATATTTACCTAAATAGGAGTAAATAAAAGGATGATTGCAACAATAGGAATTTAAAGTTTAAATTCCCAAAATAGGACTAACTCTTCCTATTCTACCTTTTCCTTTGTCCTTGATAATAGGATTTTTAAACAATCATTATAAAATATAAAAAATCAAAAAAAATCATAAAAAATAATTAAAAAATATATAGACCTCAACCACCACTCCAGCCACCTTCCAGCGCCGCCACCTCTGGTCGCCGGAAAAGATTGCCAAGTTGGGGAAAAAATGTCATCATGATGGCAATTTGAAGAGAAAGCAAGAGAAAACTGGATATTTTCAAAGAGTAAAAATGTCATCTTTATGGCATTTTCAGAGAAACGTGGCATTTTTTGCACAAGATAGCATTTTTTTCCGGCGACCGGAGTCGGTGGTGCTGGGAGGTAGAGGGCGCGTTGGCAGTGACGTACATATTTTTTAAATATTTTTTAGGTATTTTATTTTATTTTTTGGACTTTTTTAAATTTTTTTAAATAATTTATTTATTATTTTTAATTTTTTAATTTTTTATTTTATTTTTTCACGTTGTCATTATTATTTTTTATATTTTTGTATAAATAAAACTATGATTATATATATATATATATATATATTAGTCCTATTTTGGGAATAAAAGGATAGTACTCCTAATGTTGAATTTTGGGCTTATTTTACTCCTATTTAGGGCTAATACCCGTATAACTTTTCAACCACTCTTTATTCATTTTTATAAATCCGATAATCAAGATATAGTGGACTACAACCCCTCTCAAAAGTATAGAACAATGGATATCAGAAACTAACCTGCGCAGGTCTCATTATCTTTGTATCGGGATCATCCAAGGATTCACGCCAGTGAGATAAATATCCCGCCATTCGTGGAATAGCAAAAAGAACAGTGAAGAACTCTGGAGGGAATCCCATAGCCCTGATGCATAACAGCAATGATTTAGTTACAGGAGGTGATTCTATAATATTGTATTATTATGTAGAATCAAGTATTTCAAGAAGCATTAAAATGCACCTATAGATTAACCCAGAATAGAAGTCCACATTTGGATACAGCTTTCTCTTAACAAAATACTCATCTGAAAGGGCAGCCTTTTCTAAAGCAACAGCCACCTGAAAAAAATCCAAGAATATCTTTCAAGTAAACTTACCTGAAACTAACAATCTCTACGTGCCCAAAAAAGGAGTCCAGTTTTTAAAATGAAGCAAACTTTTCTTGTCATTACTAAAATGTTGCAAAAAAAGTCACTAACAATTTAAGTTGCATAAGATATATATAGTTATTCTAACATACTTCCTCCGTACTTTAAAAGTTGCAACAACATTGGGATTTTTGCACTATTCACACACCTTACTTTGACTACGATTTTTTAATAATATAATCAAACTATTACGTATAAAATATTATTAGATTTCTATTAATGTAAATTTCCAAAATATTAACTTTTTTTAATGTTTACTACTCCCTCCATCCCGACATGATTGTCCCATGTTTCCTTTTTGGTCCGTCCCACTAAGATTGTCTCATACCAAATTTAGTAAAATTTGTGTGGTTCTAAATCATTCTTACTTCATTCTTGCTTTAACAATTCAATATCAACCATATAAACCCACTTTTATTGGTATGTGTGTCACTCCCTCTTGTACCATCGTTAGTGGGACGGAGGGAGTAATATGTAATTAAAATATAATTACAAACAAAGTTGTGTATTCACAAACGTGAAAGTCAAACTATTGCAACTTTTAAAGCACAAAGGATAGTATAAATTTAACATGCAAGTATGATTCATGATTGACATTTGTAAATTGGTCAAACATGACTCTTTTGGGTAACAATTTGACATTTGTAAGTAGTCCAGTTTGAAAATGAAGCAAACTTTTCTTGTCATTACTAAAATGTTGCAAAAAAAGTCACTAACAATTTAAGTTGCATAAGATATATATAGTTATTCTAACATACTTCCTCAGTTCTTTAAAAGTTGCAACAACATTGAGATTTTTGCACTATTCACACACCTCACACACCTTACTTTGACTACGATTTTTTAATAATATATATAATCAAACTATTACGTATAAAATATTATTAGATTTCTATTAATGTAAATTTCCAAAATATTAACTTTTTCTTTAATGTTTACTACTCCCTCGGTCCCGCCAAGATTGTCCCATTTTTCCTTTTTGGTCCGTCCCAATATAATTATCTCATACCAAATTTAGTAAAATTTGTGTGGTTCTAAATCATTCTTACTTCATTCTTGCTTTATCAATTCAATATCAACCATATAAACCCACTTTTATTGGTATGTGTGTCACTCCCTCTTGTACCATCGTTAGTGGGACGGAAAGAGTAATATGTAATTAAAATACAATTACAGTCAAAGTTGTGTATTCACAAACGTGAAAGTCAAAATATTGCAACTTTTAAAGAACGGAGGATAGTATAAATTTAACATGTAAGTATGATTCATGATTGACATTTGTAAATTGGTCAAACATGACTCTTTTGGGATAATGGTAGTAGGTACAAATGAAACTGTTTGGGAAAACAGAAATCCCCCATACCTCAATCAATGGATCGCTACCAACAATGGAGAAGACTTCTTCAGCAAGCTTCTTTATGACCCTAGCCCTAGGATCATAATTTTTGTAGACACGGTGTCCAAAACCAGACATCTTTTGTTTCCTACGGATCCAAAATACAACTCAGCAGCTAAGAATATAGACTCAAAAAGACGGGGAGAGACAAACTTATCCCAAAACAAGAATGAAAGGGTGAAGACTACCTATTCTTCACACCTTCAAGAAATTGTGGAATGTTGTCAATGCTTCCAATTTCGCCCAGCATCTTAAGCACAGCCTACAAAAATCAATGGTATTCATGATTATACATGCATGTCGTACAAAAACACGCATCCAGGAAAATTTATCAAGCTGTATGTACTGATGTACCTCATTTGCTCCTCCGTGAAGAGGACCATACAGAGCTCCAACTGCTCCTGAAAGAGCTGTGTACACATCAACACCACTGCAAGTGCAAAAGTATGAAAGTATTATGGTATTCATGAATACAGTGCTGGTCCTAGGGCAGTCTGGATGAGAAGTAATGCAGTATTGCAGAATGAGTCTTTGTTAAGACCCGGGGTTCCATCCTAAAAGGTCAACCTGATAGGAGGAGTAGTCCATGTCTTAATATAGCACTTCGTTGACTCAAACATTTCCGTTGTGGGATTTAACACCCCTCCTCACGACCAGACTCTTCGTCTGGATCGTGTCATCATTCATTTTTTTCGTCAATTCGTCATTGTCGTTTTTTTATAATCGTGTCAATCATTTTTCACAAGAGGGTCCCACACCATGGATCAATTTGGCTTTGATACCATGTTAAGATCCGGGGATCCATCCTAAAAGGTCAACCTGATAGGAGGAGTAGCTCATCTTAATAAAGCACTTCATTGACTCAAACATTTCCGGTGTGGGATTTAACAGTCTTCCTATCATTATCATTATTAGTTTACTCTGGCCAATATTAATTAATAATAGTTTCCAATTATATTATTATTATTATTACTGCTTGTAGTTCCCTATTAGTGTTGATGCTCTATTGTAGTGATACTCCTAGTAGCAGTATTCTAATAGGATACGTTAATACTTTATCCCCAAAACTCTTGGGGCTAGTATACATAATTCATTAATAAGGTCATCTATGTTTTGGAACCGATTACATAAAAACTCAATAAGTGAAGTACACGAAAATCCATCTCTGCTAAGAGCAAGAAGGAACCGTAGTACCATACTCTGCCAGCTTTGAGCTGTCCTATCTATTGGTAAACTATTAACTAACAGAACACATTCAGTTTAGAATAGACAACAGTCTACCTCGAGGCAAGATGTCGTGCTGCTGCTGTAGAGCAGTTCATTTCGTGTTCAGCATGTAATATGAAAAGAATGTCAAGTACCCGGGCAAGTCGAGCATTGGGTTTGTAAGACCTGTTACCGCTGTAGCAAGCGAAAAAAAGGATCTTTAGGATAAGAAAAGGACTACTTCAGAACAGAGGACCATAATCCATCAAATGAAAATGAAAAATCTTGAATAATATATACAAGAAACCATAAACAGGCTGGTCTTATTAACCGTCAATGATGTAAAGAAAAAAAATGTCTGGTTCTCCCGAACAATTAAAGAAATATCCTTAGATTGATTCAAATATCACATCAAACGCACTGGGGAAAACTTACAATGAATCTAGCATGTACAGGAAATTTTCTGCATAAGAAAGATTGTTGGAAGGAAGGACAGGAGATCTCCCTGCCAACCTCAAATATGCGGCAGCAGCGATTGTTGGTGCCTGTAAATAGAAGTGCAGGCCCATGTATCAGGATCTTTTACAAATTATATTTTTGAAATAATTATGGATAAGGACATTTCAAACAACTTAAAGCATAAAATTCATATATATCGCATTTGATGGCAATACAAATATGTAGAGGAAATTTTTATCAAGAAGAGGAGACAACCTTCCCAAGGATGCGAACAATTTGTTTATCTCTTACTTGTTTGGATTTGTATATATCTTGACCCTGAAATACAAAATAATAATGATAATATGTAGAAAATCTAGAAAAGAGCGTAAACATCAAGCCACTCATTAGCTTGGTTAGGTAGCATAGACAAAAAATCAGCATCGTTCTGCTATGCAGTAATTGGCTTAATCAGCATAGTGACTTCATCTTCTAGTTGCGACATGAGCATATTCTAACTAACCAAAAAGCACGGGGGAATTATTGTCAACTACCCCGAGTATTAAATAATGAAATAATCAGATCGAAAAAGCAACAGGAGGACGTCAAGTTCATTCTCCAATGTTCAACCAACTTTAAGAAGCCACCCATGTCCAAGCAGTGCAATAAAAATTATTGTATTAACACAAGAGGCCATCAATGCAAACAAATTGAATTTTTTTAAAACTGACAAGTCTTTCATTGTTAACATAATAGACACCTACATGCCGGCTTATCACAGACACAGCTTGGTAGGAAGGTAATAGATTGTGAAAGAAAGGTTCAACAGTTAACTTACTCTAAGAGCGGGATTGGCATCGGGATGGAAGACAGAAAGACAACTCAATGCACTGACAAGCACACCCATTGGATGAGCATCATGAGGCATAGACTGTATGATATTCTGCATATGGAAAATATAAGATGATCATAAAAGTTGTCAACTATCTATCACAACAAAAAAGATTATCAACACTTGAAAGAATTATGTAAGTGTTGAATGATGAGCACATAAGTAGAAGATCACTGCACTATGTAAGAACAAACTAAACAGTGCTCTATAAAACCCAAAACCAAGAGCCAAGATTCAGATCAGTTCCACCACACTCGATCTTATATAAGCATCTAACTATACCACTTTTTACTAATGCCAAAATTATTAGAATGTTTTTTCGTAAAGTTGATATCTAGGGGCATATAGAAAATTTCAGAATTCTCTTCTTAATCAATACACATTATAGCTAAAGACGGAGAGACCTAAAGTATGAATAAGTCAAGTATACTTGAAAATAAGTGTGCCCATATATTCTCAAGGTGAATGCACATCGGAATGAAAAACTTTGCAAGAAGGCCAATTAGATCAATAGATGCAAAGGAAAATATTTAAATACTACCTCCGTCCCACTAAGTTTGGTACATGAGGAGGTAGTGTGATTATTACAAAAAGTGAGTTTATATGGATGGTATTGAATTGATAAAGGCCCTGTTTGGTTAATAGCGTTTTCAGCAAAACGCTGATTTTTTTAACCTACAAACGCTGCATTTAGCAGCGTTTAGGTACCAAACCGCCAAAAACCAAACGGGGGCAAAGTAAGAATAAACTAAGATTGATTTAGAACCACACAAAGAATATCATATTTAGGTATGGGACAATCTTAGTGTGACGGATCTAAATGGAAAGATAGGACAATCTTAGTGTGACGGATCTAAATGGAAAGATAGGACAATCTTAGGGGGACAAAGGGAGTATTATATATACAATTACAGATCTTTTAGTGATTTTCCTCCTTGCCAACATTAAGTGTGAATCTCAGTGTCATCTGTGAAGATGCTAAATAGATCTTGAGTGATTTTATTGAAGGAAATGAAATTACATGTACTGCACTTTACAAAGAAGGCATAATACCATTGAATACATGGGGAAATTTATTCCTCATTTTTGGGAAAGGAAATCTCTCTGGGGGAAAGGTGACACATGCCAATCAAGAGGTTGTTTTCTTTTTTTAAATGAAGAAGAAACCTATTGTTTTCACACATGAGCCACACAGCCCATAAGGGGCGTTTGGCGACAGAGAGAAATTATGTGGGAGTGGAATTTAACCTCAATAGAGACATAATTTAAAAAAAATTAAGCAGGAATTCAAATTCATGTGCTTGGTTTGGGAACAAAGGTCCTCACAATATGATATACCATGTGTGGTCAGCTATGGAATTGAGTTGGGAATTGGGATTTGGGATAACTTCTGCAAAGATCCGAACTCTTTCATCCAAACAAAGCCATATAAATAACTTTATGACAATAAAACTACAAGTCATTGTATTTTGAATGCATTAAAAGGCTGTGTATATTATTATGTTTGTATATGGGATCATCAAAAGATGAACCTGGTTAGTTAGAATATTTGGAAACTTCTCGTTTTTTATATATGATGCTCTCTGGTATGACTTGCACAAATAAAACATTGGACGTGACATTTTAAAATGGCTTCACCAAGACAAGCTAGAAATATGATGCTAATATACGGTAGTCAATAGAAATATAACTAGGGTTAGGATACATATGTCATACGTGTGTCTAAGAGAGATAAGTCAATACTGTTAAGGGGAAAATGTCCTCACATCATATCATCATATAAATATTCCCAGGCTGCAAGGAATTACAAAACATGACATAGGTGTTCACATAGATAGGAAGAAGTGTACCAAGATTCCTTCAGGTACAGCTGAATGCTGGGAAACAGCAAACTCCCAGTCTGCTAATTGGTTCTCAGCTGGTAAATTACCATATACTGGAAATACAAAAACCAAACAAAGCAACCAATTTTATCTAAAACTGAGTGAGGAATAACTGACATGTTTTTTAGGCATAACTGACATGTATTATAGTAAAATTGTTTCTAAAGTTTGAAGAGTCCCAATGTACAACCGAAATACTTACACAATAGATAAGCCACTTCCAGAAAGGAACTTCTCTCAGCCAATTCTTCAATTGGGTAACCCCTATATCTAAGAATCCCTGCATCACCATCTATATAGGATATGGATGACCGTACTGGAGCTGTATTTAGGTAGCCTGGATCATACAGCTTGAGACCTTTATCACTCTTTCCTGTTGTTATCTGAAAATTAATTACATATGATAATCATTAAATGTTTATAGATTCTATTCCAAAATAAGTATATTTCTTGTTACCTTGACAATACTCAAAACTATAGCTTGAATGTCTGATTAAAATTACAAATTTAAACCTTGACCTCTTTTCTGCTATATATGGTCTACGCAATGTCAAATGTCTGAAATTAAAATACGAATTAAATCTTACAAATTCGCACTTCACTCATTTGCAATTAGTTTGACATACCACACGAGCTAGGATACAAGAGACAATAATTTAAACCATCAAACATAACGATCTCCAACTGTAACAACCAAAGCTGAAATTTTTAAAGCTTGAATAGAAATCATTCCGACCTTCTTCAAATCCGTGGCTTTGATTGTACCATCTTCGGAGACCTGAACTTGATATCTCTTACCAGTCCGCTCATCGACAATCGTCAAGGAGCCTTTGAGATTTGAAGGCGGGTCCAATACAGTCGCCAATACAATCGAAGTTTCGAGAGCAGCAGCCTGGGGCGGATTAATAGAATCCGACGCAGTAAGGTGAGCTGAGAGCACCGCCAAGCGGCCGCGAGCCACCGTTGAGTTGCCACCACTCACCATATCTCTACTGGTTATTCCCCGTCTCTCTTAGATTGGATTGGATTGGAATTTGTGGAGTCTTTTAGAAATGAAAGAGCTTCTGACTTTCTGTGAGAAGAGGATAGCAAGAAAAACGATGATGCATGCACTAGCTCTGTTTTTGGTTCCCAAAGCAGTCTTGTTTTCATCATCCAACCCAATACCACGTGGTTTCGGGTGTACGTCTCCTCGATTTTAAACCTTTATTTATTCATTTATTTGATTAACTAGTTAAGGAAAAATTCACACTAATAATACTAATAATCCCACCTATTACCGGTCTTCCATTATTAATCTCTGCCATGCATAATTCTAGATTAATACGTATTAAAGGGGTAACCTTTCACAAACACTCTATTAACCTGAAGAACTCGTTTTGATCGGTAATTAAGAATCACGTGACCCACACGTGATTATCCTCTCCCTCTTATCCCAAAATCAGAGGCCAAGCCCAATCGAGCTCTTGCATCCCCAATTCCGCAACCACCTCCGCGAGAAGACGAGTGAAGAGAACGAATAGCAAGGGAAGAGTAAGGCTAAATCTTCAACTTCTTGAGTACTGAACAATCATGAATTCAGTGAGTGGTTCATCCTCTTAGACCTGCAACTCGAATAGAGAGGTTGTGCGTACTTGCCATCACAAGATAGAGCCGAAATTGCGAACGGTAAAGAGCGGTCCAAACATTGGAAGAAAATTTTATGGCTGCTCGTTATGGCCTGTAAGTATATCTGCTTTATAAACTTTTCATTAGTTTTCATTGGATGAAAATATTAGTTTAATTATTTTTAAACATTAGGGTTTATGCAAAACATTGAATTGTTTAGTTTAATGATGACTCTTTCTGTCATAAGTCATTTTCACTTGAAGTAGTACTAAACATTTTGAGTAAAATAAAGATTGTAATGACAATGATGACAATGATGTGCAATATGTCGTTTTGATTGTAGAATGCATATTGTCGTTTCTTTGAATGGTGTGAGGACAATGATGTGCAATATGATGTCCAAATAGTGAAAGATAAAGATCTACTAATTGAGCAGTTGTTGGCAGATAAGAAGTTATTGGAAGAAAGAGTACACAAGTTGAAGATGAAGAACAAGAGGTTGGATGTAAAAGTTGCGGATTCTCGAATGGTGGCTTCCAAAACAGCTAGAGGAGAAGCATATGTTGTTATGGTTATAATAGCATCTTGGATAGTTTTTGGGATTCTTTCTTATTTGAAGTAATGTACCATTTAATGTTAAAGTGATGTAATATTGGATCTTGGAATTAGGGATGTTCACCTTCGGCTAAATTGGTGTAATATTATTGGATCTTGTGATGTAATTACTTCTTATTTGAAGTAATGTACCATCTGTTAAACTGATGTAGTATTGGATCTTGTAATGTGTATGATGAACTTCTCTTAAAGTTTTGTTATTCTGTTAAGATCATTTGAACATGGTTTAAAGTACACTCCAAAGTATTCTGAACCAATTATTCTGTTATTCTGAAAATTGAAAAGAACCATTTCAAAACTGAACCATACAATCCAAAGTCTTTAGAATATCAGTAAGTTAACAACAATACACATTTAAATCTTCAATACACTCCAAACTCCAAACTTAACCATACACTCCAAAGTCTTCAATACGCTCCAAAGTATTGAAAACTATTGAAAACCTCAAAATAGTGTTTGCAAAGTTAACATAACCTCCAAAATCTTCAAATTAAACCATTTCAAATCATTTCACACCCTCAAAGTAAACATAAGCTTTAAGAACAAGCTTCCAGTAACTTGAAAGATAACCTCTGTTTCACCTGAACATAAGCTTCCATTAACTTAAAATACCATAACTTCATCATCATCACAAGTCAATTGAAAAGTTTAACAACAACAGAATTTTGAAATACAAGCACAACATCCAGAATACATCCAAACTAAGAAATCCATTACGCAACATAATTGACAGAGTTTTAACAAAAAGTCATTAGACATCATTCATGACATGACATTCTTTCACAGTGGTGCATTGCCATTGCTTGATGGAGCATATCCATCCCCTGAAAGCAGTTTGGGACCTCCTACTTGACCAGGTGACTACAAAAAAAAGCCCAATGATTTTAATTTAGGAGCACACCAATATAACAATTGAAAAAAGGATAAGGACATTAAGTCTCACATTAAGAATGGTGTTTCCCTGACCATCAACGAGCACACCAAATCCCTGAGGAACCTGCATCCAATTCATAAACACAATAAATATAACATTACTAAACAAATATACACTAAATGCATTATGCATATCTGTTTGCCTCTCCCTTTGGACCTCCCTCTGCCCCTACCTCTCAATTTCTGCTCTAGGAAGCACTTTCTGAACTCCATTCAAAATAGCCTATCAACCAATGAACAATGTAACCTCATATCAATCTTATAAAGAACATAGTCACTAAAGTATATAAAATTACAATGAAACACACTGGTCAAATAGTAAAAGGGAATGAAAAAATAACTGGTGTTCATCAGAGATTATAGTAAGCTCAGAACCATCTGTTTCACCTATTGCTCTATTTAGGTGAATGAAGAACCATTCCCAGGTATCATTATTTTCCCCTTCAACCACAACCCAGGCAAGGGGATACATTTGCTCATTTGCATCTCTTCCAACTGCAGAAAGTAAGAATCCACCCAAAAATGTTTTCAAGAAACACCCATCCACACACAACACCTTTCTACACCCTTATACCCATCCCTACAACTGATTTGACCACAAAACACCCTCTGCTACTGTCCCAGCTAGCATATATCCTGAAGGGACACCCGGGTACACATATTGCACCTAACCTTTATTGCATTTTCTTATCACTAACACTGAACAGCAGATTTCTACCTTGGGCTACTGCAAATCTAACCACAACATCTCTAAATTTCTCTCTACTCTCAAATTTGGTTCCTACTTTCAACTCAAGTATTTTGTAGTCAGTATGTTCATTGACAATTGGAATCCTTTCCCTCCTTTTTTTCAATTCATATTGTTCTTCATCTTCATCTGGTGTTAAAGTTTCTTCTTCTGTGTCTTCATAGTCACTAATAAAGGCAGAGTCTTCCTCTATACCTTCTTGCACCCTTGCCTTACTAGATCTCTGATTTTGCTCTGGCAGTTTACCCTCACCAACTTCTTTTTGAAGAGCAGCTGCAATCCCTAATATCTTGGCATTCCACCCCTTAACTTGATCCCTAACCTTTTGATACTCTTCATCACTTGTATCATGATCTGACCCAACCAGACCCTCTTGTATGTTCTTTAGGTCTTCCTCTTCTGAAGTATCACCTTGGAAATCAGAATTGTCACCATTTATGTTACCTTCTTCACTTACAGGAGTGTACTCTGGATCATCTGAGTCTTCTTCTTCATCCCATGTAAATGGGTTGTGGGGCCTGTCAACCTGAAATGGATCTGGAGCAGTGGTCTGAGGTTGTGAAGTGCACACATGAACCTTAAATGGGTCTGGATCAGTAGTTAGAGGTTGTGAAGTACCCACATGAACCTTAGATCCTCCCATATGACTAAGTTTCTTCTTCTGATTGGATGACATTATCTCTGCACATTCATTTTGTCCCACATATTCAATTGCTTCAATTAAATCTGGCACATCAATTCCATGAATGACATAGCAGTCGATGCATTTTGTCTCTAAGACTACATCTATCATATCCCTCACTTGATCATCATGATATGCCGTTCTCAATCCCTCTTCATAGCTTAGATTAGGTACCATGTAGTAAATGACATCAATAGTACAATAATCCCTACATTTCTTAGCTAGCTCTTCTAACCAAAACCAACATAGTTCGTCTGCATCTACATCAAAAATTCTGAAAGTACCTCCCGCGTATTGTAGTATACCCCTACTGTCCTTCTTAAATACTCCCCATGCCATATACGCAGTTTAAACTGAGTTTCCCCTAAACCCTAAAAGTGAAAATCAGACAAAAACGTAACAACAATATCAGTCAAAACAATATACGAATGAAATTTAGTTTAACAAGTAAACCCTAAAAAACAGTACCCACGAACACACTCAGTTCCAAGAACAAAAATTAACATCAACGACAACTATATGAACAAAGCAACAAAGACAAAAAATGAAGACATGATAATAGTAAAAGCAATTTATCATTCTTCTTTCCGTGGACGTATAACCTTTCTTCAACCCGTCTTCGTTCCTCAGTCTGTAATGGCCACAACTTTCTTTCCCTATCCTTTGTCTTCAATTGACCTAATAGTCAGACCGTTGTTAGGTAGCCAATTTTAAGTGTTACCAGTTCAACCGATTGCCAATGCACTGAGAGTGTTTGTGGAAGGTTACCCCTTTAATACGTATTAATCTAGAATTATGCATGGGAGGGATTAATGATGGAAGACCGGTAATGGGTGAGATTATTAGTGTGAATTTTTCCATTAATTAATTAATTACGTGATATTTGTTTATGGTAAATTGCCCTACATAGGAATAAATGAGATTTGGAATTTCAAAATAGGACTACTATGCTTTTCTTCCTGAAATAGGAGTTTTTACTGCCATATATGAAAAAGACTATCATAATTAAAAAATATTGTCATTAATTATAATAAATAATGTCATTTTAAATTCACTGTACTGCAACTGTTTGACAGTCACACCTACAAGATGACAATAAATATTGTCATGTTAGTTCTATTTCGTGAATACAAATTTAGTAGTCCTATTTTGAAATTTCAAACTCCATTTACTACTATTTTAGGAAATCTCCCTTTGTTTATTCATTCATCTAGTTGTATGTTTAGATTGAGAACAATTTTGTTCACCCCTCAAAAGAGAGTTAACATCACCTCCACCCTCCAATGCTGTCACATGGAATGACAATACATTAAAATTTTGTACTCCATCCGTCCCTTAAAACTTTGTCAACTTTCCTTTTTTGGATGTCCAACTAACTTTGTCACTTTCCCTTTAAAGTAAAGAATTTGTGGTTCCGGTTAATTGTCTCTCATCTGCACAAATCTCAACCACATAGATTTTACTTTATTAATTCTTGTGTCGGTCAAACTTGGCAAAGTTTTAAGGGACGGAGGGAGTAATTGTTATAACTTTTTTTTATTCAATTTTTTCAAAAAATATATCAATATTTTTAATTTTT